AAAAAAAAAAAAAAAAAAGCTCAATATCACTATTTGCCAGAGGGATGTAAATCAAAAACACACACACACACACACACACACACACACCAGGCTATATCATGTAAAGATACAAGATCTTAATGATAAATGTAACTGTATTGTTTGCTTTAAATGTGCCAATAAACTTAATGGGGGAAAAAAACACAATGAACTACTACTTAACATGCAAATCAAAAAGACAGATAATAATCAGTGTTGGCGAGGGTATGAAAAAATTAGAACTTTCATACATTGCTTGTGGGAATGTAAAATGGTGTGGCTATTTTTGGGAAAGTGGTTTTTCAACTCTTCAGACAATTAAACACAGAATTACCGTATAACCCAGCAATTTCTCTCTTAGTTATATACCCAAGAGAAGTGAAAACAGAGTTCCTCATATAACTTGTCCATAAATGTTCATGGCAGCAGTATTAATAACCAAAGGATAGAAACAACTCAAATATCCATCAACTAATGACTGGATAAAGGAAATATGTTAAAGCTATACAATGGAATTCCATTCACCAATACAAAGGACTGAAACTCTGATACATCCTACAAGATGGATAAACATTACTAAATAAAAGAAGTTAGTTAGAGAAGACCACATATTATCCCATTTGTGTGAAAGGAGGAGTCTACTATCTGGCTAGGGGGTCCTTTTTTGAACTTCTGAAATTGTGAGACTGACTGCAAAACTATGAACATATTTAACAAGAATTTAAATGGGTTGATTGTATCTCAAGAACAATAAAGCTATTTCAACAATACCAACAGATGAATGATGAATGACCAGGGTGTTTCAAGCAGAGGGTATTGCAGGGACAGCAAGGTTTGGGCCATCGAACTCAGTGGTGTGCAGTGCAGGGGTCAGGAGAGAAATCTGGAATATTCGAAATGATGCTGACAGGGGTAGGCTAGGGCTGCACCAGGAAGGGTCATGCACATTGCTTTGTTTTTTGTTTTGGTACCGGGGATCAAACCCAGGACCTTGTGTTTGTGAGACAGGCACAGTGCCACTGAGCTAAATCCTTGGCTCCGTGCACATTATTTTTTAATCCTTAAAGAAAACTATCAGATAACCACACAGATCAATAAGCATAAAAATAGTGGATGGGGCACAGGCTGGGCTAATTTTCCAGAACCAGGAAGAGGGATATCAAGGAGATGTTGAGGAGAAAGAATCAGCAGGAAGGACATTGCTCCAAGGCAGTAACTTGACCTGACTCTAGATTAGCAGCAGGCTCATTTCACCCTCTGCAGAGAGAGGATAGGATGATTCTACCCTTACAGAGCCCAATCAATTATTCATATTTCCAAGTCCTCACACGTTCACTTTAGGACTACAGTTTAGGACTACATTGATCTATGAACCAGATTCAAGATCCTTCTGACTGCTGCCACTGCCTGTGTGGGGCATGGGTCCAGCCCTTTATAAGTCTGAATTCTACCCATCTAAAAATACAAAATGTTAATACCTGCACATGATACCCTGGCTTCAGAAGCTAAGAGATTAAAACTTTTCTTAAGATAAACTAGGAAAAAGAAACTAGAGAGTCAGTGTGGAAACTAAGGAATATTTAAAAATAATTATTCTGAAATATATAGAAATCTTTATACAAACAAAGACATTTTTTTAAAATTCCTGTCCTGACTAGCAACAAATGTGGAAAAGAGAGGCTTAAGCAAAAACAAGTGGTTCTATATAGAGTAACTCCTGGTATGGAAAAGTATTTAACAGGGGAATGAATAACCCAGGCCAGTTGGATGAATCTTTCTCCAGTCTTATAGGATGGATTTTTATTTCTTTGGGAAGGCTTGATGTGGTCCCTTCCACCAGGAGTGGAGCCAGCTGCCCATGGGCAGGACAGCAAGAACTTTCTGGAAGGAGTGGCCAGAGCCTCCTCAGCCATTCCTGTGGCGCCACAACTTTCCAGAGAGCAGCTCCCTGCGCTCTGACCATCTCTTTGAGCACAGGGCCCTGGCTACCTCTCTGTAAAAACAGAGCACAACTCCCTCTGCCCAGTAAATGTCCTCAGGAGACCTACCTTCCACATTGGAGACAAAGCCCAGGCTCCGCTTAAGGTCGGAGCAGATGGAGTGGAGACACCATCGGAATTTTGCATCGCAGCGATACTTGTTGGCCCCACACGTGTCATAGCAAACATCCAGCTGGTTGCAGCACTTGGTCATTGCTGGAATGCCCAAGTCCATCTGCAAAAGGGAAGGAAGAAGGAGAAGGGGGGAAATGCCACGTTTAGAACAAAAATGACCTCAGGCAGCTCTGCGCGGCAGGCACGAACTAGCCAGTCCTCCAGTGCCTGGTACATGTTCGCTTCAATTCAGAAACACCAGTGGGTTGGTGAGATAAGTGAGTCACAGGGTGCTAAGTTCTTGTTGTTATTTAGCTACTAGTTTAGTACGTGACTCCCTGGCCCATTTGCCACGCTTTTCTTTGCAACAGTATGGAAAACAGAAGCTGGGGGGAGGTCAGGAGGGCAGTGCTGCAGGACTACAGACTCAATTAAAGCTTAGGTTAATATTTCCTTCTGAGATTTTGTTTGAAAAAATTATTCCAAGGCTAAACAGTATTCAAAATTCAGCCTCAGTGGAGCAAGAGATCACTGGAAAATCTCAGGGAGCCGTCCCATCATACAGCACCATTTGAAAGGTGTCTCTGTGCGTCAAGAGGCAGAAAGGGGAGCGGAGTACACAGCGCCTGCCCACGAGGGGATGTGGCCAAGCCACACCGCACACATGCGCCCATGCACACATCTGCTAAGCGTCCTATAAACAACTGTAAATGCTGTGGCAAAAACCTGAGTCACTGAGATCATAGAATGCCAACGTATGAGACAGGGTTTTAAAGAGGGCTCTGAAAGAAGGCTGACGGGGTTACGAGAGGCGAGGATAGACAGGATATAGCAGACAGCGAAAGGGAACGGGCAGATTGTCATGTTAGCCAGATGAGTGTTTCACAGGTCTTAGTAGGAGATACATATGTGTGTGTGTGTGTGTGTGTGTGTGTGTGTGAGTGTGACTGTGAGTGCATGGTGTGTATGTAAAAAACCCTGAGAGCTCGGTGTAGCTCAGTGGTAGAGCACTATCCGAGCAGGCACAGGGCTCTGGGTTGGATCCCTAGCCCTGCAAAACAGTGCTGTTAGAGAGAAACGCAAGTCGATGGCCTCGACTTCCAAATAAGTAGTCAGATTTGATGAGGCCTCTGGGATAAGAGCTGTGATCAAAGCAGAGTGATCATTGTGTGGTCTACAAAACAGTCCAGCAGGGTGTAGACAAAGCATCTTAGGATCCTTTGCAGCTTTTCTGGTAACAGACTTGGACTTGGCTGGAAGCTGTGTGAATCTGGCTTCATGGTACAGGTGCAGAGTGGTTATAGGTCCTTTCCACCAGGATGTCTTTAAGTATTCTCTTATTTGATGTACTTGCTTCAGCAGCACATATACTAAAAAAAAAAAGTATTCGCTTATTTGAACTTTTATTCCAAGTCCACCAAAAGCAGAATTAGGACTCTGGTGCTTTAAAATACCTCTTTAATATATATAAAATGTGTGGTTTCTCTAATATAATACGCATATATATATACACACACACATGGCATTAAGGGATAATATCTATTCTCACATTAGATGAGGCCCAGGCCTAAATGCCACAATTCTGGATAAAGGCCTGTTTGCCCATTGTCTGATAGCTGAAATAGACAATCTTGCCTGTCTCCAAAATTAAAACATACTTCACAAAAGAAACAACTGCAAATTACATAGGCATAGTGATCATTCAATTTAGTTATAGAAATCCTTGAACTAGTTCTAAATAATAAAGTGAATATCATTTCCATAGCTATTACATTGTTAGGTAAAATGTGTGGTTTCTCTAATATAATACATTTTTGGAAGGATTTTCTTCCTTCTGTGTCTGTACAGTTATTGATGATTGGCTGGGCACCCAGGTTGGGTGTGGCACAAGGGCACCATATCAAGGTGGTACCTTCCTCCAAGACATTCTAGATTTATATGTTTGTCAAGAAAAGTATCCAGACAAGGACAGTCAGGGTTTTTTTCTAACATAATTAGTACATTAAGATTCATTTCCGAGCCGGGTGTGGTGGTGCACACCTTGTAATCTCAGCACTCAGGAGGCTGAGGCAGGAGGATCACTGTGAGTTTGAGACCAGGCTGGGCTACATAGTGAGTTCCAGGTCAGTCTCAACTACATAGTGAGACCCTGTCTCAAAAAAAAAAAAAAAAAA